AGGGCTGTCCCTAGCGCCGAACCCCGCCTGTTCCCCCTGTGCTGACAGCCTCCCCCGCCGCCCTCCTCTTCATGCCAGTGCTGAACTGTTCCGCCTCCCCCCCCCCCCATCTTTCCAGCTGTGAGGTGCCAAACCCACTTCTCTCTTCCTTCCCTCCTTCCGGCTGCCAAACCCACCTATCTCCCTCCTCTCCTCAGCGCCTTCCAGCTGTCAAACCAGGGTTACCGATTTTGATTGGATGAATTATTGGGGATTTCATCATATTACAGTTTTTAAATAAAGATTAATCTTTGTTGAAGAGTCTCCAGGAATTAATCTTGGAGGACTGGCAACCCTAACATCTACCCTTCCTGGTTCCAAACCCCTGCCCTGACACCTATCTCCCTCCTCTCCTCAGCGCCTTCCAGCTGTCAAACCAGGGTTACCGATTTTGATTGGATGAATTATTGGGGATTTCATCATATTACAGTTTTTAAATAAAGATTAATCTTTGTTGAAGAGTCTCCAGGAATTAATCTTGGAGGACTGGCAACCCTAACATCTACCCTTCCTGGTTCCAAACCCCTGCCCTGACCCCAGGGTCCTTCCAGATGTCAAACTCACCTACACCCTTCCATTCTCTTTTCAGCTCCCAATCTCACCTGCACCTCCTAGTGCTGAAGTCCTCCCTTCCCAGTCCTTCCAGCCGCCAAACCTACCTATTTTCCTCACCTCCACTCCTTCAAGCTACCAAACTCACTTTCCCCTTCCAATGCCAATCTGTATCCACCTGCCATATTTATATTCACACACAGCAGTGACAAGTCACCCCATCTTTTCCTCAGGGAAAACTAATCCTTGCATACTGTACATAGTCAAACTTAATGTACTTTCTTCCCCTGATGTGATGTGTCACTTTATCAGACATATGTGCATTCCAGGCAGTTAACAAAATTAGATCACCTCTCCATAACAGACTCCATGGAGAACTAACATGACAAAATGCACATTGTGTTTCTAGTGTTCCAGTGCTAGAATTTCATAAATCTTCATACACAACAGCCATGGGCAGTAGTAAAATGGTTATCTTGATTGCTCAGACTTTGATTTTTTTAAAAAAAATATTACATTGATGCCCGGAGTAAGGATGTTAAAGACTAGTTGACCTCCCCCACTTGCTCCCTCTATCAGATGGAGGCAGCAAAGGGGGGCGCTGCACAGCTGAGCCTAACTCAGCTGTAAGGCTCTGCCGCTTTGAAATGCTGAGATGGTGTTCAAAGGGGCAGCACCTCACAGCTGATCCCCAGCTCAGTTGTGAGGCACTGCCCCTTTGAAACACCGGCTCAGCTGTGAAGTGTTGCCCTTTTGAAATGCTGAGACCCAACTAACCCTGGCTTCTGGGGAAATGCTGTGTGGAGACTGGGATCAACTGGGGAGTCCTAGCTGACCCCAGGCTCCGTGCGGCATTTCAAATTGGCAGTGCAACATGGAGCCTGAGGTCAGCATGGGACTCTTGAGTTCCCCACTGACCCCTAGCTCCATGAGTGCGCTTCCGCTTTGAAATGCACAAGAGCCCCCGCTGGGGACTTGTACGTTTCAAACCCTGCATGCAGCCCGGAGTCAGCAGGACTTCCCACTGGCTCTGGATTACATGTGGTGTTCTGCATTCCTTGCTGGGGCTCTCGTATATTTCAAAGGAGGAATGCAGAAGTACCTATCGATTAATGAAGTAGTCAATTGAAATTCCATCGACTACTTGACTGGTAAAATAACTGCAATTTAACATCTTTAACTCAGAGGTGCTATGTAGGCCCATGTTATTCAGGGTGACAAACAGCTAGTGAAGGACATGCTCTGCTTCAAAGAGCTTGTAAGCGAAGATGGGACAAGGGGCAGAACCTAAGAGAGAGAGGGGGGCTTAGGAGGAAGATGAATTTGACAGTAATAGGGATACAAGATAGTAGATAATAGCATTGTGTATAATTGGACAACTCACACCTTTTTAATTGCTGTAAAATTACTGTAGATCAATGGTCTCCAAACTTTTTCACATGTAATCTATTAGAGCCAGTGCTCAGGAACTGGGGCCACAGCTAGAAACTGGGTTGTGATTGAGTCCAGAGTTGTAACTGGGACTGCAGGCAGAGTCAGGGCTGGCAGTGGAGCTGTGTTGGGTGGCTCCCTTCCCATCACCCGTGGGGGCTGGTTTGGCACCTGCCATGCTTCTCCAAACTTTCTTCCACGTTCCCATAGTGAGCACACCTGACAGTTGTGGGACTACTGTTTTATATTTTAAACTATATGCTTTTTGCTAATATAATATTATAAAAACAGATTTATCCAGTGTAGGTAGTTAGATGAGAATTAGGGATGTAAAATCCCAGTTAATAAGTCAACCTGTTAAATAAACTTTAAAAAACTACAAATAGTCTGGTAGCACTTTAAAGACTAACAAAACATGTAGCTGGTATCATGAGCTTTCATGGGCATAGCCCACTTCTTCAGCTCTGACCCCCTCTCAGAGCCAACACCCTATACCCCATTTTGCATTCTGACATCCCCCCCATGCCAGCCTTGACTCCCCTTCCAAAGCCAACATTTCATACCCCCCTCCTGTCCTCCAAAACTGCGCCCCAGTCCGGAGTGCCCTTCTGCTCCGAAATTCACCCCAACCTCCTGACCCAGCCTGTTGAAACTCAATGAGAGTAGGGAAAAATGGGGGTGAAGGAGGGAGTAGGGCAAAGTCTTGAGGACTTTGAAGGTTTTTTTGCCAAAGTGACACCCACTTCAAAAATAGTGATGAGCACTGGTGGTTGAGGTAAACATCAGGAGACAGGCTTGGGTTCACATTGGCTAGATAATATATTACCAACCTCCTGACCCAGCCTGTTGAAACTCAATGAGAGTAGGGAAAAATGGGGGTGAAGGAGGGAGTAGGGCAAAGTCTTGAGGACTTTGAAGGTTTTTTTGCCAAAGTGACACCCACTTCAAAAATAGTGATGAGCACTGGTGGTTGAGGTAAACATCAGGAGACAGGCTTGGGTTCACATTGGCTAGATAATATATTAACATTCAATTTGTTCTATCTATAGTTGAGTGTTAAAACTTATTTAATGCCAGCTGTCACCTTAATGGGACTATTGTAATGTCGCTGGAGTGGACATCTGTATGCAGCATACAGTACAGGTCCCTCCTTTCATCTTAATAGGAGGAGAGGGTCAATGAATTCAGATGTTTGAAAACAGGGATGTGGTGGAAGTTATATGCTCTGAACAATTTG